CACAGAGAAACCCTGTCTTGAAAAACAAAAACAGCAAAAAAAAAAAAAAAAAAAAGATGCTTTGTGAGCTCTCAAGGCCAGACAAGGTCAACAGGCCGGCTACTGTCGCTTGCCATTAAGCAGCTCTCTCATGCCAGGAGTTCAGAGGCTCCCAGAAACAGCTCAGAAAATTCTTTGTACATTCAACAATATTCACTGTGCCAGGCACTGAGAAAGAACAAAAGAACCACCCTGGGACACATGGCAGAAAAGATAAAACACACAGAAGGGCCCTGGCTCACTGGAGATGGTTTTGCCCTCTGATTCCTCTTTGGTCATGTAGAAGAGAAAAAATGGAGCCAAGCAGTGGGAAGCCACAGATCTGAGGGTGCTCATCCATTACCATTCTTCAATCAGGTCCAAAGCCCAAAGCAGGATAAATAGGCTGGTGGCTGGAGAGAGAATTCTTACTGGTGAGAAAGCCAAGGTCCTTTGGAAAAAAGAACAACGAAAGAGCCCACCTAAGACAAATAGGATATTCACCAGACAAAGAGGGGAATGTAACTCTGCATTAAATCAGGTGAAACTAGAACTGAGAAGTCATTCCTAGATTTGAAGATGATCAAGGTTAATTCAAAGTATTCTCTTCAACAACTAGGTTAGGTAAGATTATAACATTACATTGCTTCTCCTTTTCCTTTCCTCTCTCCAAATACTACTTCCCACTTTCCCTCAAATTCATGACCTCAAATGGATGGAACTAAAGAAAAAATCATCCTCAGTGAGGTAACCCAGACCCAAAAAGACTAACATGGTGTGTACTCACTCATAAGTGGATATTAGACGTAAAGGACAACCAGGCTACAATCCACAGCCCCAGAGAGACTAGATAACAAAGAGGGCCCAAAGAGGGATGCAAGGATTTCCCTGGGAAGAGGAAATAGAAGAGATCTCCTGGGTAAACTGGGGATGAGCACGGAGTTGTTGGGGGAGGTGTGAGAACATGAGGGATTGGGTTGGATGGGTTAGGGGCAGGACAGAGCAGGAGAGTAATGAAAGAGGTGTCTTGATGTGAGGGGGGGGCGGATTTGGGACTAGGGAGAAACCTGGTGCCAGTGAAACTCCCAGGAACCCATAAGGATGACCCCAGCTAAGACTCCTAGCAATAGTGGAGAGGGTGCCTGAATTGGCTTTCTGTAATCAGACTGGTGACTACCCTAATTGTTATCAGAGAGCCTTCATCCAGTAACTGATGGAAGCAGATGCAGAGATCCACAGCCAAGCACTGGGCCAAACTTTGGGAATCTTGCTGAAGAGAGGGAGAAGGGATTGTACGAGACAAGGGTGGCCAAGGTCATACCCGGGGAACCCACAGAGACAGCTGACCTGAGATCAAGAGCGCTCACAGACTCTAGACCAACAGCTGGGGAGCCTACCTAGGACTGACCTAGGCCTTCTGCATGTGTGTGACTGTTGTGTAGCTTGGTCTGTTTGTGGGGCCCCTAGCAGAGGGATCAGGACCTGTCCCTGGCCCATGAGCTGGCTTTTGGGAACCTATTCTCCGTGCTGGGTCGCCTTGCCCAGTCTTGACGCAGGGGGGGAGGAGCTTGTTCCTGCCTCACACTGATGTGCCATGCTTTGTTGACTCCCAAGGGAGGCCTGCCCCTTTCTGAACAGAGATGGAGGAGGAGTGGATGGGGAGGAGGGTAGGAGAATAGAGGGAAGGGAGTGGGAGGAATGGAGGGACGGGAAATTGTGATCAGGCTATAAAATAAATAAAAAATTTTAATGAATAAAAAAGTTCATGGCCTCTTCTTTCATTAATTGTTAATGCATGCATATATGTATATGTATACGCATATATATTTCTAAATATAACCTACTCAGTTCATATAATACGACCTGTATGTATGTTCTCAGGGCTGACCATGTAGAACTAGACAACCAGTGGTGTGCCTTCCCTGGGGAAGACCACTTCTCCCACTTTCAGGTTTCCTGGGTTAATTATAATTCTTTGTGTAGGGTCGAGGCCTTGTGAGCTCTTTCCTGCCCACTTGGGCATGTTCACTGACTAGGGTCATCCTTGTTCAGTTCACATCGGGGCTCTCACATTGGCGAGACTTTATGCACGTAGCTTCTGACCTTCCTAGGAGACACCATCTCACAGCAAGCTCCCTGATCCTCTGGCTCTTAACAATCTTTTCGACCCCTCCTCTCCCGCAATGTCCCCCCCGAGCCTTTGATGCAGAGTGTTTTGTAGATGTATCCCACGGGGACGGAACTCCACAGTTCTGCATTTTGATTGGTTTTGTCTGTCTAGTGGTCTCCATCTGTTGCAAAGAGAAATTTCCTTGATGGGGAGTAAGGAGAACACTTATCTGTAGGTATAAGGACAAATGTTTATAGGTTGTTGGTAGGGATTGTGCTGGCTTAATAAATCAGTGGTCGTAGATTTTCCTCCAATCACCATGACTTCACTAAGCACTGAGTACTTAGCTAGGCTTCTAGCACCAGGCATGACTCCTTTCTCGTTGAGTACAATCAGAGAGCTGTTGGTTACTGCTGCACTCTTAGGTGATGGTGCCATGCTGGTGGTTGATGTGGTTCATCAGCATCATCGTTGGATAGGACTGTTGGTTACCACCCTTCTTTGGAAGCTTGCATGGTTCCTTCTGGTACCAGGAAAGCTAATCCTCAGGAAGGAGGCATGAAGGTCAGAGCCACATCAAGGGTCTTATTTAGAGAACACCAGGGATACTGGCCCCGAAGCAGGATCTTCTTATGTTTATGTCTGTCTGTGGGTCCCAGCACACTTTCAATAAAATTTTACAGAAAATTCTCTACCTTGACAAGTTATAAATCCTCTGCCACATTTTACAGCAAGCTGTATTCTGGAGTAAATGTTTATTCGCTCATGTGATCTCAAGAAAGGGAAATGAAAAGGATTTAGGACTTAGTGTCAGCCAAGTGGCAACACTGCGAGGATTTAGGCTTCTGGATTCAAATTGCTGCTGTGATTTATTAGTTGAACCTTGGACAAGAGACATACCATGCCTGTCCCTTTCCCCCACCATAAAACAGGGACAATATCTAAATCGGCCATGCTATACTAATTCAATAACCTCTACTACTCAGGCTCTCCTATGAGGATTTTGCAATCAGTAAATGCCTACTGTTATTATCTTAAAAGGAGAATAACGAAAGGAACACTTTTCTCGAAAGACATTCATGTGTAAATGTTAGAGACACCCCCAAAGAAGGGTTCTATGGAAAATACAGTAGGAAAAAAAAATTCCTTTAGTTCTAAAAGTGTAAATAAAGTATTTGAATAGATTGCCAACTATCACTTTTAATGCTATAAAAGTATCTGAAACTTAGAAAATAACGAATGTGCTGAAATTCATAGAAAGATCCCCTATAAAACAAGGAGAATGCATACAACGAAGAGTCCACTTCAATGGTCCCAAAGTTTGTTCCAAACATGATCCAGCAACCCGAAGCAGAGGCCAAGGTCTGTGAGGCCGCAGCTGGGCCACTTAGGGTCAAATACATATTAAATATCTTTGTCCTCGTCCTGATTTCACAAGCAATCTGGAGAAATAACTTCACTTGTAACTTGAGATACTGAGTATTAGTGACGAGAAAGTAAATGGCAGGCACAGAGAGCCCTGGAATATTGGTCAACTCACAAAAACAAAACAAAACAAAACAAAACAAAACAAAACAAAACAAAACAAACAAACAAACAAAAAACCCAAAGCCATGGTCCCTCTCTACCTCCTCCTGGGTCTTCCACATGTTAGGCAACCATGTACATCTGAGACACATCCCTGGCCTCTATTTATAATTTTCAGCAAATGTTCACCATATAATTGGCTAGGCACAGGTGGGCCAGGCTGGAAGAGATGCAAATGTAGCTGGCAGAGAGGTCACTGCTGGAGTCCACGAAGCATGTACAAGCCCTGTGTTCACAACTAACATTGAATCTTAGCTCTTAATCCTCTTGATCCTTTGTCTGGCTTCTTAAACCCTCACTGTAGCCCCTACACCCACCCCCTGCCACCCACTGTAGAGCAGGTGACACCTGTGCATCTTTTATGGGACAAATATGTGTTTTCAGAATGTTCAAAGCCTTGCAAGACAGCCAGGATTACGGAATGGCATTGTCTGCGAGATCCTTTCTAAAAATGTTGCCCTGGATAAAAATAAGGATGGCTAGAAGAGCGAGAGGCCAGAGAACAGGAGACTGGCGCCGAGACACACCTCCTGGGAGGCTCCAGACTTGTCAGCTGACTACTCCTGTGCTATGGATGGCATGTTTCAGCTTCCAGAAGGCTGAGAGACGGTCCTCGGCAGATCCTGCTCCATGAAACGCTCGCTCGCTCGCTCTCAGTGCTCATCGCCTGACATGACCCCAGCCTTCCCCCATGCACAGCATGTACAAGCCTGAATCCCGAGATTCAGCAACCGTCACATCTAATCAAATAAGGAAAAGGCCATGGGTATCACTTGACGGCAAACGTCAAAGAGCACCCTTCTGTTCTCGCTTCTGGAGTTTTGTGCGATGGTCGGAAGTGCCGGAAATTCGATTTTGATAAAGAATTAAGGCGCTTATGAAACCAACTTTGACTTCTGGCGAAGAGAAAGGCAACTATATGACAAAGTTTTCTCCTATTAAAAGGAACGGTTATGTAAGCAGCCCACATGGAAGAGCCCCACTGGAGTTGACACAGTAAAAGACAGACAGGTGAGCTGCTGAGGAAGCTCAGGTGATACAGTACTTGTCCCGTGTTCTATTCTCAGCACCATATACAACAAGGAAAAGTGGCACACAGTCGGAATCCCAGCAGGTAGAGGTGGAAGGGTCAGAAATTCAAGGCCATCCTATGGCTGTAGAGGGCTTGGATTCGGCATAAGAACCTTTCTCAAAATGAATAAATAAATTAACAAGCCAGCAACGGAAAGGCTGATAGAGCCCACTTCCTTTTTTCCAAGTCAAGAGAAGATGGCAGTGGACTTACTTTTCATACAGCCTCTGTCCTCTCATGAAGGCCTTCACTTCGTTGTCCAGCGGGAAGGTACCGTCATCCTTTCTGAAGCGGTAGAAGAGTTTTACATCCTTGAATTCCTTGTGCTCATCACACACTGAAACACAATACACACAGGGGGGAAAGTGAGAGACAGAAGATTCAAATCCATCTCACCACTTAATTCTTGCTCACACAGGTATCTGCTGTAGGATAGAGTGAGTGCTAGCTACTGAGTGTTCTCACTAAGCGCTGTGAGCATCACCACCATCATCATCATCACGAATTGAAAGGCTCACAGAGTTCACTTCATCACTTATCCCAGAGTCTTCAGAAGCATGAACACTGGAACAACATGAGCCGCAAAGAATGTAAATCAAAGCTAGACGAGGTGGCATACACCTCTAGCTCCTATACCCAGGAGACTGAGACAGAGAATCACTAGTTTGAGGTCATCTGAGGCAACAGGGAATGACCCTTTTGTCAGAATACCAAAAGTGATACAAAGAGAAACATCAGCATATAACTAAAGGATGCTGGAGATTTGTTAGGTTAAAGGATGTTAGGGACAGGTTAGGGAAAACTGCAGTGGGAATGTGAGGGAGGAGTCCTTGAAACCCCAGCTTTGGGAAATGGAAGCTTCTCTGAACTATTCGTAAGTAGAACCCTAAAAGTGAACAAACAAAAATAAGGAGAATTTTTATCTTAGCTTAGAGGAACAACATTGTGCAAGTGTCTAGGCCAGGCTGAGACTTCAAGGACATACTGTCCTAGGGTTTCTACTGCTATAAAAAACACCATGACCAAAAGCAACTTGGGGAGGAAGCGGTTTATTATATCTTACACTTCCAGCTAACAGTCCCTCACTGAGGGAAATCTGGACAAGAACTGAAGCAGAAGTCATAGGAGAATGCTGCTTACTGGGTGTCCCTTCATGGTTTGCTCAGCCTACCTTCTGATACCAACTAAGACCACTTTCCAGATGTGGCACTGCCCATAGTGAGCTGGGCCCCCACCCACATCAACTTTCAACTTAAAAAATGCACCACAGGTTTGCCCACAGGGCGACATGGAAGCAGTTTCTTAATTGAGGTTCCCCCTCCCTAAGTGACTCTAGCTTGTGTCAAGTCAACAGAAAACTAGCCGGCATGCACATGTTCATGAATGTTCATTGAACCATTGAGAGGGTGATGGTTTGAATGGCAATGGCCCCCATAGGCTCATATATCTGCACGCTTAGTCCCAGTTGTTGAACTGTTTAGGAAAGATTGGGAGGTGGGTCCTTCCAGGAAGTGTGTCACAGGGGGGCGAGGGGGGTGGGCTCTGAGGTTTCAAAAGCCCACTCCAGGCCCAGTGTCTCTCTTTCTGCTTTCCACCTGCTGATCACAATGTAAAGCTCTTAGCTACTACTCCAGCCAGCACCAGCTCTGTCTAGCCATAAGGATCATAGACAAACCCTCTAAAACTTGTTTGTTTTTGAGACAAGGTCTCACTCTGTAATTTAGAGGGGCCTTAAACTTGTGGCAGTCTTCCATGCCTAGCTTAATGTCTGGAAACCTAAAAAAACAATAATTTCAGAGGAATAGATTATCATCACTGGTGAACTTGGCACACAGTATGCTGATCAAGTTGCAAAGAGTAAACATACATCGTTTTGAAGGCTCAAATATGGCACACTGTCTAGGAAAGCATATGAAAATAAACCAAGTACCTCTTGGAGGCAGGAGTCTTTGGGAAGAGGTACTGAGGAGATAATTTAAAGTAAAATGTTTATTTGTTTACTAATTAACATTTGGTTTTTTTGGACACAGGGTCTCACATAGCTCCAGACTGGCCTCAAACTCATTATTTAGCCAAAGATGGCCTGGAACTTTTGATCCCCCTGCCTCTGCATGTGCTATCAATTCTTCCTCTTATTTCGTAATGGGTACATCTACGCAATCAATGTGGTCTTCATGGCCTCTCCAGACACCTTGCCGGTGCCGACTCACTCACCGTGATGAATGATGCCCCGGTCGGCTAGTTTCTGCATGAGTTTTATTGCCGTCTCTCGGTCAGAGGCCTCCTTGTGTTCAATCAACCAGTCAATGAGTTCTTTCGCGACAAAGCAGTTCGGGTAGGTTTTGAGATGATGCCGTCTATCTTTAATAACCTTTTCTTCATGGAGCCTCAGCCTAAAAAGATGAGCAAGAATGTGAGGGAGGTTGCTGGCAAGGGGAATTCCTAAACCAATCCTATGGAGAAGTAACCAAACACGTTGGAGACCTCCATCCAGTCAGAACCCTCTCTTCATCCCAGGTCACTCACAGTCCTCCAGTATTTGCACCCACACATTCATACGACCTATGTGCATTCATTCACTCATTCATAGGACAAAGACCCAGGCATGCCCATGATCATCTACCCATCAGGGACTTCTAGGCACTAGAGGCATGCATCAGAAAACGCAGCCAAACAAGCTCACCTTTGGGATATTTTTTTTCCCTCCAGTAGGGACTATAGCTATGTTTTTGTTTGGGTTTTTGAGACAGGGTCTCATGGGACCCAGACTGGTCACAAACTTGATTTGCAGCTAAGGATGACCTTGGATTCCTGATCTTCATGCCCCCACCTCGGACTCCAGGCCTATGCCACCACACCTAGTTTACTGGAGCTAATCTTGGTGCGAGGTTTACTGCCTTCCACAAGTTGATCAGAGCACTTTACAGTGAGTGATTAGCTCACACAATGCTCACAACAATCCACCAGCAGTTAGTACTACCCTCGTTCCTTAACAGCGGAGACTGAGATTTGTTGCAGAATAATATTTTAACTAAGCAAAGATGTGTTACATTTGTTTGTGCTGCGGAATATTACTTTAACTGTGTACAGGTGTGTTACTTTTGTTTAGGCTGCATTTGTTTAATTATGTAAAGATGTGCTGCATTTGCTTCACCTTGCCTGCCTAAGGTACCTGAGTGGTCTAATAAAGAGCTGAATGGCCAATAGCTAGATAGAGAAAATGACAGGCGGGGCTGGCAGGGAGAGAGAATAAAGAGGAGGAGAAATCTAGGCTTGAAAGAAGAATGGGAAGAATAAGAAAAGAAGGAAGAGAGAACAAGGGAGATGTCTGGGGGCAGAAGCCAGGCAAATGCCAGCCAGCAGACATAGAGAAGCTGGGAAAGTAAGATATACACTAAGAAAGGAAATAAGGCAAAAGGTAGATAAAGAGAAACAGATTAAGTTAAAAGAACTAGCCAGAAATGTGCCTAAGGTAGGCCAAGCATTCAAAACTAATAAGTCTCTGTGTCATGATTTGGGAGCTGCTTGGTGGCTTAAAAGAAAAGGCCTGGTACAGAGGTCCTTCAATTAAATGACTTATCTAAACCCACACGGCTAACAAGTCTCGAAAATGAGATCCGAGGCCTGTTGTTGTCCCTGAGTTCATCAGGCTGCCTCCAGCTAAAGATGGATAAATGAAAAGTCAAGGAGAAATCGATTAAAGCTGTTGGGCTAAGAAAATACAACTTACTTCCAGGCTGGTAAATTAGTGGAAAGGGCTTTGTGGGAGCTTCCCCTCCTTCTCCATGATTTCACAAAGGAATTATGGACCTGCCTTTTCTTTAAGGTTTCTGCCGTTTACAATATTTTTTTTTTAAATCATCCTTGCATTTCCTTTTTATTTCTCAAATGAAGGAATTGAATGGGTGGCCCACAAGGTTGCCTTCTACCATCCTCTTACCTGATGTCTATGTTTCATGATGCATATTCTGAACAGTGCTGAACAGTCTTGGGAAATGGAATGCCTCATAAAGGATTGCATGATTTGGACAAGTGATTTAAGGGCTCCCCCAACCCCCACCAGTAAAGTGGAGAGTTTGGATAGACTTTTATCCTTGGCCATGTTGAGACTTAGAGGTGGGTATGCCAAGCAGAAACCCAGCCAAGTGGATCCCTCACAGGGACAGTTCTAATGAAAGAGACTGAAGGGCTGGAGGTGTGGTGTTCAGTGGAAAAGTATGTGCCCAGTGTGAGTAGATGAGAGAGAGGGAGAAAGCCAGGTAGGAGTGGGGGGAGAGAGAGATCCTATTCTTGTCTGTTTTTTTTTGTTTGTTTGTTTGTTTTGTTTTGTTTTGATACAAGGTCTCATGTATTCCAGACTACTCTCCAAATCCATATGTAGCTAAGGATGACCTTGAACTTCTGAACCTCTTGCCTCTACCTCCCAAGTGGTAAGAGTACAGATATGTACTACCATGCCCAATTTTTTGTATGCCAGGCAAGTACTCTACCAAGGGACCTACACCCCAGTCTTCTGGGGGGAGGCAGGGTGGAGTCTTTTACACCACCGCACTGGGGTAAAACATCCTATGTAGCTAAGGATGACCTTGAGCTCATGATCCTTCTGCCTCTACCCTCCAAGTGCTAGGATTACAGAATGCATCACCATGCCCACTTTGAATGGGTTTTGATATCTCAGGTGTCCCAAGCGGGGAGTATACCCAACCAAAATCTCCGAGGCTTAGGTGTTCTTTGCGACCCAACTGCCACAGATCAAATTGTATTCTCCTCAGATTCACACCTGCCCCCTCAGTTGACTTTTCAATCCCACGTATTCTGTGATTCTGTTTAGGGAATGGGTTTCTAAAGATGGAATTAAGAACTGGGGCCGGGCGGTGGTGGCGCACGCCTTTAATCCCAGCACTCGGGAGGCAGAGGCAGGCAGATCTCTGTGAGTTCGAGGCCAGCCTGGGCTACCAAGTG